GGGCTAAGCTTGAGGTAAAAGTTTAGGGCCCTTCTCCATTCTTTCTGGGTATGCATTTTGCCCTGACTATTCTAAATTCCCCCATATACATGGTTACTTTTGAATATCCTAGTTTCCCAAAGACTCTTCCCAGATTTTGCACTTGGGCCTTAGGCAGTCTATTGTACGTCTCAACCAGTAAGCTTCTGCTCTAGGCATCAGTGGTTTGTTAGATCCCCTTCCAGTGTTTTCAAGCAACGCCCACCACTTTTCCAACCTGTGTTCCTAGGTAGGCAAAACAGAGATGAGAGTCTCGTGTCAGTCCTTCAGGTAGCCCCCAAATAGTTAGAACAGACACACACGATAATTTACAAGCAGGGTCTACTCTGCTCCCTCTGGAACCGGGAACCTGATTTTAAGACCGGTCTGCCATGGCTTTAAGACTGCCACCATGATGGGGAAGGGGTGGACAAGGGCAAGAAAAAATGCCACAAAACTTTTCTACTGTTTTCAAGTTGCCGTTTACTTGGTTCAGCATTTTCTTGGTTACTGTAAATTTCCGACTGGTTTCCAGAGTTCTGACAACGTTGGTTCTGCGAGTTTCTGCTTGTTCAATGTTTCTGCAGGGGAACAAGAGCTAGGAACTGCCTACTCAGCCATTTCACTGACATCATTCTTCTGATGTAAGTTTTGAAATCTAGAAGAAAAAAGTCTTCGAACTTTGTTTTCCTTTTTCAAGATTGTTTTGCCTATTCTGGATCTTTTGCTTTTCTATATAAATTTTAGGAGAAGCTTGTCAATTTCTGCCCCTCAAAAAAAAAGCCTTGCTGGGATCGCTTTAGGGATTGTGTTGAATCTATAGATCAATTTGGGAAAAACTGTCATCTTAATAATATTGTTTTCCAGTTCATGAACATGGAAAGTCTCTCCATTTATCTAAATTATCTTCAATTTCTCTCAGCAATATTTTATAGTGTTCAGTGTATGAGTCTTCACTTCTTTTCTTAAATATAATCCTAAGAATTTTATTCTTCTTGATACTTTTGTGATGGAACTGTTTTCTTAATTTTATTTTCAGATTATTTATTACTAGTGTATAGAAAGACAATTGGTTTTGTTGTTGATTCATAAAAAAGTCCTTATTCACAGACACGATTATCTACTTAGAAAATCCAAAAGAATCTACAAACAAAAATGTTACCAGAATTAATAAGCGAGTTTAGCAAGTTTGCAAGATACAAGATCAATGCACAAAAATCAATCATATTTTATACACTAACAGTGAACAAATGCAAATTAATGTTTTAAAACACCATTTGAAGTAACATCAAAAATTGAGCTATCTGGGGCTGGCCCTGTGGCTTAGTGGTTAAGTGCGTGCGCTCTGCTGCTGGCAGCCGGGTTCGGATCCCAGGCGCACACCGATGCACCGCTCATCCGGCCATGCTGAGGCCGCATCCCACATACGGCAACTAGAAGGATGTGCAACTGTGACATACACCTATCTACTGGGGCTTTGGGGAGAAAAAGGAGGAGGACTGGCAATAGATGTTAGCTCAGAGCCGGTCTTCCTCAGCAAAAAGAGGAGGATTGGCATGGATGTTAGCTCAGGGCTGATCTTCCTCACCAAAAAAAAAAAAATTGAGCTATCTGGAGATGAATCTAACAAAGTATGCCCAGCATCTGCTCACTGAAAACTTCAAAATATTGCTGAGAGAAATTAACTAAGAACAAAATAAAGGGAAAAATATACCATGTTGCTGAATCAGAAGACTCAATACTATTAAGATATCAATTCTCCCTAAAGTCATCTCACAGATTCAATGCAGTTCCAATCCTAGCAGGAATTTTTCTTTTTTTTTTTTTCGAAAATTGACAAACTGATGGTAGAATGCATGTGAAAAGGAAAAGGGCATAGAAGAGCCAAAACAAGTTCGAGAAAGAACAAAGTTGGAGGACTCACACTATTTGATTTCAGAACTTTTTACAAAGCTGAAGGAAACAAGAGAGTGTAGTATTAATGACACGATAGTCACATAGATCAATGGGACAGAACAGAGAGCTCAGAAACAGACCTACAGATATATGACCAATTTATTTTTGACAAAGGTGCAAAGGGAATTCAAGGGAGAAAGTGTAGTCTGTTCAACAAATGGTGCTGGGACAACTGGATGTCCACAAGCAAAATATAGTCCTTGACTCACACCTTGCAGCATATGCAAAAATTAACTCCAAATGGATCATAGACCTAAATATAAAACCTAAAACTACAAAACTTCTACAAGAAAAAAAACAGGAGAAAATCTTTGTGACCTTGGGTTAGGCAAAGATTTCTTAGATACAACACCAAGAGCATAATTCATACACAAAAAACTGATGAATTGGACTATATCAAAATTTTAAATTTCCACTCTTCAAAAGATACTATTATAAGAATGCAAATACAAGCCACAAACTGTTGGCAAATATTTGGAAAACATATATTCGATAAAAGACTTGGATTGAGAATATATAATGAATTGCAAACTCAACAACAGGAAAACAAGCAAACCCCACCTACAAAAAACATAAAAACCACAAAAAGATATCTCTGCACACCTATTAGAATGGCTGAAATTAAAAATAAAGTAAATATTCAGTGCTGGCAGGATGCCAAGGACCGGAACTCTCATACATTGATGGTGGAAATGCAAAATGGTCCAGCTGCTTTAGAAAACAGTTTGGCAATTTCTTATACAGTTAAACACATACTTACCAAATGACTCAGCAACCCATTCTTAGGCATGGCACTTGGCCCATTTCTAGGCATTTACCCAAAAGAAATTAAAACTTAAATTCACACGAAAACCTGTATGCAAATACTGATAGTGGTTTTACTCATAATCACCAAACCCTGGAAACAGTCCAAATGTCCTTCAACAGGTGAATGGATAAACGAAGTGTAAAAATCCACTCAGCAATGAAAAGGGGCACACATCTTAGATGAACCTCAGATGCAGTATGCTAAGTGAAAGAAGCCAGACTCGGTGATCCCATTTGTATGACATGCTTGAAAAGGCAGAAGTATAGGGGCACAAAACAGATCAGTGGATACCAGGTGCTGCCAGAGAGAAGGAGGGGCTGAAGGAATTTTTCTGGAGTGATAGAAATGTTTGATATCTTGAGTATGGAGATGGTTACATGACTAGAAGCATTCGTCAAAACTCATAGATCTAGACATTATTTTTGGTGAATTATACCTCAATTAAAAATATGAAAGGGGGCCAGCCCAGTGGCGTAGTGGTTAAGTTCATGCACTCTGCTTCAGCAGCCCAGGGTTCGCAGGTTCAGTTCCTGAGCGTGGACCTATGCATTGCTTATCAAGCCATGCTGTGACAGGCGTCCCACATATAAAAAAGTAGAGGAAGATGGGCACAGATGTTAGCCCAGGGCCAATCTTCCTTAGCAAAAAAGAGGAGGATTGGCAACAGATGTTAGCTCAGGGCTAATCTTCCTCACCAAAAAAAACTCATATATAAAAAGAAAAGATGAGCTTCTGGCTGGGAGAAGACCCTGCAACACGAAGAGGGTTAATAGACAGAATTTTTTTTTAAACTGCAACATGGTGAGAAAAATATAAATCCATTAGAAAAATGAGCAAAAAGTACGAGGCAGCACACTAGGAAAAACAAACCCGAACATCTAACACGTGGAAAGAAGGTCAACTCTGCTGGTCAACAAGGAAATGCAAATCAGGACAACCGGGACATAGTACGTCACGTGCATCACATCTTCCCTGGTTGAAGTCCCCAGTACTGAATGCTGAGAAGGTGCTGAGACCCTCCCCTGCTAGTGGGAAGGTAAATAGATACAATTATGAATCTGGTAGCATCTAGTAAATTCCAAGGTGCACATACTTTAGGAACCAACAATTCCATTCTCAAGTAGAGACATACTCCCAAAAACCTCCTACTTGTACCCTAGAAAAAGCTGTAAGAGAAAGTTTGTTGTGGGCCATTTTAATAGCAAAATACTGATGGGAGAAACAGAATAGCCACCAACAGGAGAAGATATATCAAGTGTGGCATATTTATATACTGACATATTATGCAGGCAGTCCAAATGCATTAACAAGAGCTACAGGCATCCACACAGATAAATCTCAAAAACATGCTAGAGAAAAAGAGCAACTCAAAGTTTCACCATTTGCAAAACAAGAGCATATCCTATTTAGTGATACATAAACACGCAGTAAAAGTATGAGCATGTGCACTGGTGAGATGGACAGTAAATCAGGATAGGTCTTACCCTGGAGAAGGGGAGGGCATAGGGTCATCACAAGTGGCGGGGTCATCCGCCATATTGCATGCGTTTCTGTGATACTCTGCGTTTTGCAATGATAGACCGTCAGTACTACGCGAATCAGGCTTCTGACTGAACAACTGCCCAGAGCAAGACTTATCACCTGTGGGGACAAGGGCACCCAGATCTGCAGGGTACATGGACATGCATAGATGTTCGCTCACAGGATGCTACTTTTATGTCTATTTATTGTTTTTACATTGGTAAATACTTAAGGGTTTATCAAAAGGTTTTCTTTTTTATGTAAATCCAGATTTTTCTGACATGAAAAACAATATTCAATTGATTCACTTGACATATTTATAGGAACAAAATATGTTCTAAGATACATACATATACTTTTAAAAGTCATGTAATACTTTTAATGCCTTAAATAATACAGTGAATGCTAAGTCTTCATGCTAAAAACTCTCTTTTCTATTTTTATTATCTTTTGGAGTTAGTTAGCTACATTTTAGAAATAGCATTTATTCAAAGCATTTATTCATTTATATTGAATAAATAGCATTTATTCATTTATATTGAATAAACAGCATTTATTCAAAAAGTGATGTAATGCTGGAAAGATTCTTGCATAATTTCTGGAAATTTCTCCCACTAAAAATGTGGGGGAACTATGTTCATGGAAATCCAATATTTGTGAATTCCACATTTACAAAATAAAACTGTTTTTAACTCACCTCCCCTCTGTGAGGAATGAGCCAAATTCCGGATCCAGAGGAGCCCAGTGGCTCCACGTGGCTGCACTGCTGGTGTAGGGGCTCAGGGGGTCTGCCCTGCTGACTCCCTGCTGTGGCCTGCGGTTGCTCATGGTGTGTCCTGCCAGCCCTGGCCCTCCCAGGCCAGCACAGGTGGGAGCAGACGTCTGATGTAGCTCCATCTCCAGTGTGCCGGAGGTCAGACTGCCATCTTTGCTCTCTAGATGCATTGTCTGTTGCCACTCTTCTCACTAGAGTCAGCCAAAAAGAAAACATCATTGATTAAAAATAAACTGAGAGTATCATCTACACCTTGGGGAATCCACACTTCTAAAGGGTACCATAGATGCCTCTTATAACTAGGCCCTTCCAGTGTTCCAGCATTCTAATATCATACAGGAAACAGAGTATGCTCATCTCCAAGGATGAACATTCTAGCACATTTCATACTAGTCGTGACCTAAGTATTCAACAACAGAGTATTAGTTAAGTTGTGATATGTGCATAGCATGAAATACTATGCAACCATAAAAATGCTCTAAAGGAATATTGACTGATATTGGGAAATGTTAAGGATATGGAAAAAAACATTGATACACTGGGATATTTTTCTTGAAATAAATATGTAGGTATTATATGCATAAAACAGAAAAACAGAAAGACACAGCCTCCTCCAGGTGGTGGAGGTACAGACAGTTGGGGCTTTCTCTTCTGTCTCTGTCTGTGCTATGATTTTAATGATTTCTACATCTAGGAAATTAATTCTTTTGTAATGATAAAATAATAATACCTATTACAAAAATGAGAAAAAAATACATACTTGTAAGGTTATGGTGTACTACTTTTTGGATTTTGTTTTAAACCATCACCATTCTATTTTTTATCTTTGGCAGCATCCCACAGCTTTAATTTGCAGCATCCTGGTTTGCTATCAAGGGTTGCTGTGAAGCCAAGAATTACTGTGAGCTTTGGTTGAGTAGGATTTGCAGCATTGAGAACATTGCATACGCTTGTGGGTGGAGTGAGTACAATTTGTGGGTCCACCACTCCTTGTCATTCAGTCCACATAGTGGCTGGAAATGCCCCATGATCACAAATTCTGGAGGACCTAGGGTGTCTGGGAGTTCAAAGCAAGTACAAGGTAAGTGTGTTATGTCTACAACTGAGTAAGTAGGGACACTGAGAAGCCCAAGAAGTGCCACTTTCTGGTGAAACCAGAATTTACTTCAAATACAGAAAGGCAATGGCCTTTGAAGAAACCCAAATGACCAAGAAAGTCTTACTACTTCCTTACTATTATGATTTCCCTGCTTTACCCCATCAGTTGTGTTGAAAATGATGACTTACTCATCAGTAAGCAGAAGGCAGACAGTGTTGGTAGAATATGATTGTATCAAAGAGTGAAATAAAAACATTTGAGTTAGTTTTATGCAATTCCACATACATACAAGTTAAACACTCTCGTATTTGCATTTTAAACCAATATTGCACAGTATAAAATGAGCAATAAAATTCATGCTAATAATTTAAATTTTTCTCAATAGAGGCAGGTTTCAATAAAAAAAATCACCTGTGATGCCCAGGAAAATCTCAACTTGAAAGAAAATAGATGACAATACTGAGATGACAGAGATGTTAGAATTATCTGACAAAGGTTTTTAAGGTAGTCAAAATAAAAATACTTCAACAAGCAATGACAGACACACTTGAAACAAATGAAAAAAGTCTCAGCAAAGAGGAAGTCTCAAAGGAAATCAAAATTATATTGAACTGAATAAAAATGACAATACAACATATCAAAATTTATAGACCACAGCTAAAGCAGTGATGAGAGGGAAATTTTAGCACTAAATGCTCATATTAGAAAGGAGAAAAAGTCTCAAATAATTTAAGCTCTCATCTCAATAACCTAGCAAAAAAAGAGCAAAACAAACCTAAAGCAAGCAGAAATAAGAATATAACAAACATAAGAGCAAAAAAATCAACGAAACAGGGGCCGGCCCTGTGGCTTGGCGGTTAAGTGCGTGCTCTCCACTACTGGTTGCCAGGGTTTGGATCCCGGGCACACACCCACGCATCGCTTGTCTGGCCATGCTGAGGCGGCGTCCCACATACAGCAACTAGCAGGATGTGCAACTACGACATACAACTATCTACTGGGGCTTTGGGGAGAAAAGAAAAAAATAAAGGAGGAGGATTGGCAATAGATGTTAGCTCAGGGCCGGTCTTCCTCAGCAAAAAGAGGAAGATTGGCATGGATGTTAGCTCAAAGCTGATCTTCCTCACAGAAAAAAAAGAAATCAATGAAATAGAAAACAAAAAACAACAAAGAAAATCAATGAAACAAAAAGCTGATTTTTTGAAAACATCAATAGAATTAACAAACCTCTAGCATGACTGACAAGGAAAAAAAGAGAGAATACAAATTACCGGTATCAGAAATGAAACAGGGAATATCACTACAGACCCTGCAGACATCAAAAGGGTAATAATGGAACAACTCTATACACAAAAATTTGACAACACAGATGAAAAGGACAAACTCCTCAAAAGCACAAATTAGTGCAACTTACCCAATAAAAAATAGGTAATTTGAATAGCCCTGTAACTACTCAGAAAATTGAATGTGAATTTTTAAGATCCCAAAAAAGGAACTCTCCAGGCCCAGATGGTTTCACTGGAAAATTCTACCAAACATTTAAAGAAGAATTAATACCAGCTCTACTCAATCTCTTCCAGAAAATAAAAGACACATTTCCCAATTAATTTTATGAGGCCAGTATTACCCTGATACCAAAATCATATAGAGACAATAAAAAAAAGAAAACTACAAACGAATATCTTGCATGAAAATGATGCAAAAATATTTAACAAAATATATATATATATACACATATATTTTTGTGTGTGTGTGTGAGGAAGATCAGCCCTGAGCTAACATCCATGCCAATCCTCCTCTTTTTGCTGAGGAAGACTGGCCCTGAGCTAACATCTATTGCCAATCCTCCTCCTTTTTTTCCCTTTTTCTCCCCAAAGCCCCAGTAGATAGTTGTACGTCATAGTTACACATCCTTCTAGTTGCTGTATGTGGGACACCGCCTCAGCATGGCCAGACAAGTGGTGCGTCAGTGCGCCCCCAGGATCTGAACCCGGGCTGCCAGTAGTGGAGCATGCGCACTTAACCGCTAAGCCACCAGGCCGGCCCTTTAACAAAATATTAACAAAGGAAATTCAGCAATATATAAAAAGAATTATTACCATGCCCAAATAGAGTTTATTCCAGGGATGCAAGGCTGGTTCATTATTCACAAATTAATCAATGTTAAATGTAGAGTTACCACATGAACCAGTAATTCCACATCTAGGTATATACCCAAGAGAAATGGAAACATATCTCCACACAAAAACTTGTACATCAATATTCATTGAAGCATTATTCATAAAAATCAAAAAGTGGAAACAATCCAAACGTCCATCACTCATTAATGGATAAATAAAATGTGATATACCCATATAAGGAAATATTATAACACAATAAAAAGGAATAGTGTACTGATGCATGCTACAACATGGACAAACTTTGAAAACATTATGTTAAGTGAAAGAAGCCAATCACAAAAGAGAACACATTGCCTGATTCCATTTATATATGAAATCTTCAAAATAGGTAAATCTCTAGAGACAAAAAATAGATTAGTGGCTGTCTAGGGTAGGGGGAAGAAGGCATGGTCCGAGGGAAATGAGCAGTGACTGCTACAGTGTATGGGGTTTCATTTTTGGTTGGTGGAAATGTGCTAAAATTGATTGTGGTGATGGGCACACGATTCAGTGAATATTCTAAAATATTCTAAAACCATTGAGTCATACCCCATAAATGGGTGAATTGTATGGTATGTCAATTATCTCAATAAAGCTAATAAAAACATCAATCAATATAATCTATCATATTAAAAGGCTAAAGAAGAAAAATCAAATGATCATATTAATTGATGCAGAAAAAGCATCTGACAAAATTCAACACCCATTCATGATAAAAACTCAAGAAAAACAGGAATAGAAGAGAAGTTCCTCAACTTGATAAAGAATATCTAACAAAAAAACTACAGCTAACATCATACTTAATGATGAGAAACTCGAAGCTTTCCTGCTAAGATCAGGAGCAAGGCAAGGATGTCACTCTCACCACGGCTATTCATCGTGGTACTAGAAGTTCTACCCAGTGCAACAGGGCAACAAAAGGAAATAAAAGCAGAGCAGAAAGGAAGAAATAAAACTGTCCCAATTTTCAGACGGTATAATTTTATACATGAAAAATTCCAAGTAATCTACACAAAAATTCTAGAACTCATAGAACTAATAGAACACAAGACAAATATTTTAAAATCTAGAATAGTTGTATATACTACCAATGAACATGTTGACATCAACATTAAAAATACAATATCATTTCCAATTGCTTAAAAAATTAAATAATTAGGTATACATCTAATAAAACATGTATTAACTCATACGCTGGAAACTACACAAAGTTGATGAAAGAAATCAAAGATCTAAATAAATGGAGAGATAAATTGTGTTCATGGATTGGAAGACAACATAGTCAAGATATCCATTCTACCCAAATTGATATATAGATTTAATGCAATGCCTATCAAAATTCTGCCAAGACTTTTTGTAGATACAGACAAGATTATTCTAAAATTTATATGGAAAAGCAAATGATCTAGAAAAACTAAAACAGTTTTGAAAAAAACTAGAATGGGAGGAACCAATCTACCCAATTGCAAGACTTACTCTATAGCTACAGTAACCAAGAGTGTGTGTGGTGTGGGCAGAGATACACACATGGATCAACGGAACAGAACAAAGGACCCAGAAACAGACCCACACAAATACACCCAGTGGATTTTGACTAAGGTACAAAAGCAATTCAACATAAGAAAGTCAGCCTGTTCAACAAGTGGTGCTGGAGCAACTGGACATCCATAGGCAAAAAAAATTAAAACAGAAGAACTGCACCTCGACGATGGGCCCAGATGAGCCTGCTCTCACAGGGAAGTGCCTCCACGGGCCCGCCAGGCAGGACAATTGGAAACAATAACAAAAGCCAGACCAGCGAGCTCCCACAAATGCTAACCAGAGAGACTCGGTCTATGGGGTCTCTGCTCGTATTTCCAATGTATGGGAAGTTGGAACAGTCTCAGAGCCGCACACTGGCTGGTCCCCTGCTGCGCAGGCAGCCTCCTTCGGAGCCTCTAGGCTGTCCTCCCCCTCTCTGGCCTCTCCTTTCTCCGTTGCAGGCCCACCTCTCCACACCTCAGTTAAAAGGTCCTTCTTCTCTCCCCTCTCTCAAGAGGTCTCGATTTCACCCATGGACAGGTGACCCCCAAGCTCCCCTCTGCAGCCCAGACCACTGTGCCCAGCTGCCTACTTGTCTCCCTTGATGTCTCAAAGGTACTCAAACGCCCTGGCAGACGTCTGAAGTCACTTCTGGCCCTTCCCCAGGGTCCTGTGACTGGTCCCACCATCCATCCAGGTGCACCCATCACAAACCTGGAGCCCCCCAGGACGACCGCCTTATCCCTGCAAACCCCTCACCTATAAAGTGCCCTCTGCCCTGGCCATGCAGCCAGCCTCTTAGTGGGCAGGACTCAGCAGTGGCTTTCTCGAGCCCCCCAGCTGCTCCCCACCACCCAGCCACACTGATCTTTCCAAAATGCACCTCTGTTCACATGGCCTTGGGCTTAAAACCTTTCCCGGCTGTTCCAGGCAGCCAGAGCCTCCCTCTTCCCCATAATTCGTGATGTCCTCAGACCTCAGCTAACCCCATGGGGGTCGTGGCCTTCTCAAGAACAAGAACAGAATCAGGATTTGCTTTTCATCAGTGTAATAAAACTTTGCAAATTTTTGTTCCTAAATCACTTCCACTTTACACCTGTTGTGAACTGCACTCAAGTGTTTGTAAACTAAATTTGCAATAATAAGCAGTTTTTGTGCAATCCTTTACGGCTTACCTAGAGCTTTCACCTCTGTTGTTTCTAAGGAGATTTAATCCTCATTAGCAATTATGTGCGAGTTGGTATCACCAGATGCTTTCAAGATCCAGCCCCCGAGGCGGGCAGGCCTTGCTCCAGGGGCCTGGACAGCAGACCGCATGCCCACCCCGGACAAGCAAACCTCAAGTAGAGCATTTCCTAAGTGGTTGAGGGTATAATTGACTGCCTTGTATTCAGGAGATAGCAGCTGCCCACACTGCTAACAGCCTCCTGTTTCCTTTCCCTCAGAAGCACTACACCTTGCGGAGCTGTCACACCTCCTAAATCCCTGCTCAGAGGATGCCCTGGGGAACTTCACAAGCAGCCAGGTCCTGTTCCTCGGAGTGCCTGGCACCCTGCGCCCCTGAGCAGGCCTGGGTCTGTAAACCCAAGAACGTCCACACCCGGGGACGCCTGTGCCTAACGTCCCTGTCCTTGGACAGAGCTGGCGACTTCAAATCCTTTATTCACCGTGTGTGGCACAGTGAGAAGGGCTCTGCGGATTGAATGTTTTCGCCCCGCGCATTCCATTCCGCAGAACGCCTGACCCGCTCACGTGTGTGCGGCAGGGAGCAGATGCCGCGCTGCAGCTCAAGCAGAACATTCGCCGTGAAAGCGCCTCCAAACCCCCGTCCTGCGGCCCACCCGCTCTGTCCTGCGACCCGCCTCCCAGCGCGCCGCTCCAGTAAACCCAGACACCGCTCAGCGCGGCAGTGGGCGCCGGGTGCTCACGCCAGACACTCAGTCTTACACGTATCTGCACACTCTCCTTGCTCCATCGGCAACAGCTCAGCACAGGCTTGTTAAAACCCTGCCTGCTCCCAGAATAGCTTAGCTCCTCACCTCCTCCCTCCCGACTAACCTGAAGACTTGAACTTTCTCCAAGAGTGAAGTTTAACGTCTAAGCTGAGAGCTCCGAACGGTGAGCGCAGCGCAAACCTCGAGTAAGGAGAGTGTGCAGGAGCGCGGGTGCTGGGGAGCGCGGGGCGGGGCCGGTGGGAGCGGCGCTCCGGGCTGGCCACGCCCACAGGCATCACCGCGGGCACGCCCCCAGGACGGCCTGCAGGACCCGGAGGAGGGCCCTCCCCGCCTGCGCACGCCGCCTGGGCGGCCCGCAAGGGCAGGAGGAGGACGCCTCCGTACCCTGAGAGCTGGAAGAGAGCCATCAGGGAATGGAGGGAAGAGGTTCTTGGTAAAAGGCCAGACCAATCTCAGTGCCTTCTCCAAAAACTGATTGACAGTCTCCCCTCGCTTTGCCCATTTCAAGCTCTACTTTATGGAAGGTAGCCAAGTACTTGTAACAGATTTTTCCGTATGAACAAGAATTGGGGAAACGTAACTGAGTGAATATTCTGCCTACTTTTTCCTGTTCTGCATTTTAAGAGTTCTCTGCTAGAGCTGATAAACCTGACCATCGTTCCTCTTATTCTCATTGCCTGGTTTCCCCTCCAGCCTAGGGCTGTCGCCAAGGTTACACTTGTGGAAAGCGCATTCTCTCTCTCTCTCGTACACGTGCACACACACACACACACACACACACAGACATGCACAGACCCCACACAGACACAGAAACACAGACCCAGAAACTACACACAGACACACTCATATACAGATACACACGTGCATGGACTCACACACAGACATAAACTACACACTGACACACAGATACACGAGGAAATATGACACACACACACAGAGACACATAAACTATACACTGCCACAGCCATAGACACACACACTCAGGCACACAAACTACACAGACACACACACGCACACCGCAGACTACGTACACACAGTTGCAGAAACACACACAGAAATATAAACAGGCACCCAGAGAGACACATAATTACACACACACCAACACATGAACACACGTGCACAGACACATAATTACACACACACCAACACATGAACACACATGCACAGACACACACAGATGCATAAGCTACACAGACACACTTTGGCCTGCAGTGGACCAGGCAGCCCCACTGAGGCTTTAGCCCACCAGGCACTGCCTAGGGATTGGCAGGAAGTCCAAGGCTCTTGGCTCATCCACTGTAACAGGCAGAAAACAAAAAGGTCTCCTTGTGGGAAGCACCTCTATAAACCTCTCTGGGAGAGTCGTTTATTCATGGAGCCCGGCTGTGTTAGGTGTTTGGAAGGCACAAAGTTAGTAACAAACACGTTACACAGGACAGAGCGTGGTCAGAGTTGCCCAGGGCCGAGGACCAAGGACACAGGGCCACTAGGCCTCCCGGAGCAAGATGGGCACCACCACACCACAGTCCCAGTGCCAGCTGCAACAGCAGGAGAGCCTGAGTTCTCTGAGATGACACCCAGATTCAGGCTGCCAGATGAGTCTGGTGTGGACACGGCAACAAACTCCGTCCTTGTGGAGCAGGGGGCACTGCGAAGCCTGTGGTCACCCCAGAAACGCAGGCACATCAGGCTCAGCCCTGCACCTGCGAGTCCTCCTCCAGTGCCTCAAGGACACGGTTACAGAGCTGAAAGTGGCAAGGGGGCGCCAGAGCATGAATGTGCAGGCACTCTGAGTGGACAGAAGGTTCCAGGCTGCCATTGCCCTTCCAGAATGGCATCCACGCACTGGGACCCTCGATATGCAGGCCGATTGGTCCAAAATAGGGTCCTGAAGCACCAGCAGAGCAATTGTGGCCAAGTACATGGCTCTCTGTGCCCAATGCCTGTGTCACTAACGTCCATGTGCTGACCCCAAGCCTGGCCGATGTTCCTTGTGTAGCTGCTAAATGTTTGCAGTGGGGTCCACCCTACCCTGCTCCAGGGATGAGCCTGTGTGGCCCCAGTTATGGAGGAAATCCCCTCCCTGCCAGGGATTGGCATCTACCCTGTGCAAACCCACATGGCAGTGAAGCCCCCACAGAGCAGGACAGTCTCTGAGACCAGGCACCACGCTGGACCAAACCACCAGCTCTCCATCTCTGGGCTCCTTAGTCATTGCCAACCAATCCTCTTGGTTGTTGAAGCCAGGTCCAGTTGAGGGTTCCCTTCCTGGCAGCGAGAATAAAGACTGGATACAGATAGCGTCATTAGAAGCCTGCAGCGTAATTCAGGGTGACTGCTGTACCGTGAAGGCGGACTGGATTTCTTCAGGCAGAAGTGATTGGAGCCAGCCTCAGGTATGAATCGGTGATTTGACCAAGATATGACCATAGAGTCACACTTTTCTTAGATGGCTTAGGAAAGTCCTGAAGGAAATTCCAAACCTGCCTGCAGCTTCCCTTTAGGAATCCTACCCTCTCCCAGGGGTCTCTGTGGTCACCCTCTGTGCAGGCCTTGTGGTCCCCAGTCTTTGCCTGCTCTTACTGCACAGCCCACATGTCCTGCTCATGCACTGGTGCCCACAGGTGGCTCTGCCCCGCCTGTGCACTGACCCCTAAGAGATGCGGGAGAGGGAAAGCTGGGCAGACACCCAGGGCAGCTTCCTTCTGCCTCTTGGCCCAGGTCAGAGAGTGACCCAAGAAAGAGGAAAAATCAAATGCAGATTCACACGGGGTCCCTTTATCTACTGCTGTAACAATCCCCTCCTCAAGTTTAGTGACAAAAATAGCGACCATATATCATGCCCTAGGTTCTGTGGGTCTGGAATTTGGAAAGGCACAATGGAAACGGCTAATCTGCACCCCCAAGACAGTCATAGTGGCACGAAGGCTGGAAGAGACTTGAGTCTGGGGGCTGGAAGCATCTGGAGGTGCACTCCCTTACTTCTGGAGTGGGTCTGCTGGCCCCACCACATAGCCTCTGCCCTGACTCTTGGACTTCCTCACAACATGGTGGCTGGGGCCCAAGAGATAGGAGTGGAAGCCACCAGTTCCTTGAGACCTGAACCCAGGACTGGCAGGTGTCAGTTCTGCCATATCCCATTAACCAAGCAGTCACAGAGGCCAGGTTCAAGGGGAAGGAGACAGCCCCCAATTCTTGATGGGAAGAATGTCAAAGAACGTTAGAGCCATGTTTTACATCACCACAGATTTCACCCAGCCAAGGATGCAGCAAATGAACAATGAAGGCATGATGCAAGCAATGGGAGGAATTCTGGACTTAAATTACACACTTTTCAGGCATTTTAAAATATAATAATCTGCGGAGCAACAGGAACTCTCATTCAGTGCTGGTAGAAATGCAAAATGGTATAGCCACTTTGGAAGAAAATTTGGCAGTTTCTTACAAAACTAAACATACTCTAACCATACCATCCAGCAATTTCACTCCTGGTATTTACCCAAAGGAGTTCAAAACACATTCATACAAAAACCTGTACATGAATGTTTATAGCAGCTTTATTCATAATTGCTAAAACCTTGAAGCAACCAAGATGTTCTTCAGTAGACATAAACTATCATACATCTAGACAGTGGAATATGATTCAGCACTAAAAAGAAATAAGCTATCAAGCCATGAAGAGACATGGAGGAAACTTAAAGGCATTGCTACAGTGAAAGAAGCCAATCTGAAAAGGCTACATACTATATAATTCTGTTACTGAACACAAACACAGGTTCTTTTACCTGCCACACAAGAGGGGCCAAAAAAAAAAAAAAAAAAACTGGAACGCCAGGCTTATGGCAAGGAAAAGGGCTTTTATTATCAAAAGGGAGCCAGATGAGGAGATGGGAGCTAAAACTCAGATCCACCTCCTGGAAGGGAAAAAAGATAGGGGTTTTTATTTGGGGTTTTAGGTAGGGGAAGGGGAGCATATGGCCTCGCTGGTTGGTGCCCTCCCACCAGCCTGTGTTTGGCCTTGTGAGGCTGCTTGCAGGGAGGGGGATGGCAAGATAACGGAATCTGCAGGTGAGTATCCTTGGTTATCTGCCTCTGAGATGGTTGGTAGATTCTGGCACCAGGAAGCCAAGGAGTTGGGGTCTGGGAAGCTTCATTTTCTTGATAGTCTCTCTCAGTTTCCCTGTAATAAACTTCAAGGACCCGTAATTAGCAAAACCTTTAGTATGAGCCCAGCCTGAGGCCACCTGGGCTTTAATAATCTGTAACTTCTATTTTCCTAGTGAAGCTCAGGGATACAAAGGTTAAAGAAACCAACAGTTACATATGAATGTAACTAAAGAAGCTTGGAAAGGGGATGGGTGCTTTTGGTTTTAACTCCATATATGCTGGGTGTAATGTAGGGGAATCGACATCAGGGCTGGTATCAATTCCAACTGTATGACATTCTGGAAAAGGCAAAACTATGGAGACAGTAAAAAGATCAGGGGTTTTGGGGAGGGAGGGAGGAATGGAAAGACAGACCACAGAGGATTTTTACCACAGTGAAACTATTCTATGTGATACTACAATGAAATATGTGTCATTATATGCTTGTCCAAACCCATAGAACGCACATCACTGAGAGAGCCCTAATGTTAACTATGTACTTTGGGTGATAATGATGAGTCCATGTAGGTTCATAAATTGTAACAAATGTAGCACTGTGGTGGGCGATGTAGATAATGGGGGAGGCTCTGCATGAGTGGGAGCAGGGGGTATATGGGAAATCTGTGTACCTTCTGCTCCATTTTGCTGTGAATCTAAAATTGTTCTAATAAATCTATTTTTTTTTAATGTAATAAGCTAGAGGAAAATTCATTGGGTAGAATCATCAGAGGAAAGTCTCTTTAGCGTATGGGGGGGTGAAACCTTTGAAAAGCGGCTGGAGTGGGGCCCACCTGCCTGGGCTCCCTGCGACTGGCACGACGGGCCTGCCCCTCACACCCCTCACCCTGGCGGAGTGTCCTGAGGCTCAGGCCAGCATTAGGTCGAGCCCACTCCAGCCAGGGAGAGAGAAGAGGCCTAGTCCCAAGGCTGGGACACACAACGCCCAGCGTCCCTGCATCTGCGGGCTCCGCTCCGTCCGACGTGTCAGCTGCAGATTTCCCAGTAGCCCGGACTGAGACTGGGGGTCACTGCTTCGAGAAATCGTCGTCCCTCCGAGGGGCTCTTTCCATCGGAGCCGGCTGAAGGACGGGTGACAGCACGGCCCGGGAGCCCCGGCTTCCATGGGCGCGCGTGCGCGCAGCGAGCGCAGAGCTGGGCTGCGACCCGGCAGTCCCTCACAAGGAACCTCCCCAGAGACAACGGTGACGCCAAATGCCTGTGGCCCCCACGACAATGACAGCAGAGCAAGCGCAGGAGGCCAAGGACGACTGTCGGCCGGTGGCAGAGTTTAGGGTGTGTGGCGCGCGTCGCTGCAGCAGAGCCCGCCGTCCGCGAGCCTCAGCGCCGCCGCAGCGCGGCCCAGTGGCCTCGCCCCCCACGCTCTCTCCCTGCAGAGCCGAGGGGCCCGCGGGCGCAGGTCGCCGCGCCGCAGAGACGGGTCAAGACAGACGGCGGAGCCCGCAGCTAGGGAGGAGGGCCCCGCCAGACGTGCCCTGTGCCTTCCGGGCAGGGTCCGGGCTACCCCCGGGCGAGGTGGGATAACGGGGCGCTGCCGCGCGGAGGTCTCAGGGGCCCCCACGTTCTGGACCCCCTTCCTACCCGCGAAGGGGGACTCCCCGCGGGCGGCCCGCCGTCGGAAGGACCTGGGGCTAACACGGGACAGGAGTGGTGACGCCTCGGCGCCCTGTCCCTGCGGTCCTGGCGACTGCACGAGCCCAGCCGCCCGCCCGCCCCGCTGCCCTGGCAGGGACCCCTGTAGGCGCCGCGCCCGCGACTCGCGCCGGGATTTGCGCCCTTCTCAGGCCGGGTTCTCGCGCCCACCGGGATTTGCAGGAGACGGGCCCCCGCAGGGATTCTCGCTGTAAAGTATCTTCCTACAAAACAATGGGTGCTTAATCGGGGTTGGTGGTGCTCACGCCAGAGCTGCACAGAAATTAGACGACCCCCCACCCGCAGAACACCCCCACAGGACCCGGCAGGAGGGGCCCAGCCCGGCGCCGCGGCCACGTGCGAACTGCGCGGCGTGTGAAAGCCCAGGCCCGGAGCCGCTCTGGGGCTCCAAGAGCCCGTCTGCGCCGCTAACTTAATTCAGAGCAACTCAAAGCGGATTTCACAATGAACCATGACATTTCAAAAGGAATGTCATAGCTCAGACTTCTGCCTTCTCTTCAACTGCCCCCAAATGCAAGTATCTTGGCTGGTTTTGCAAGTCAAGACGCTTCACACGTGCATGGATTTAGGAAGCTCTCTCTGGTGTTCCCAGATTTCTAGTTAACCCTGAGGTTTCCACTTAACAACCTCAGAAGCCAGTGGTCACCGTGAGGCCGGGCAGTATTCCATGCTGATGAAAGTGGACCATCTACAGTACAATGTGTAGTTGAACACCTGTCCGCAGGGTACAGCCTCCACGCGCTCTCCTGCTCAAACAGCCACTGGGGCGGGTGCTGCCATTTGTAGATGATGAGATACGGCTTCCAGAAGTGCACCTGCCAGAGCTGGGCCCATCGTCCAGCGACAACACAGAGCCAGTGGCCAATTCTGAGGTCCTGCATCAAGGGTGGAGCAGGGGCCACCCCCTTGGCATCCACCGTACTGCTCCACACTCACCTGGGCGCAGGGTGGGACGTGCACCAGGATGCTGATCCCGGGACTGGAGCTTGTCCTTGGGCTTGGAAGGACAGAGTGCCAATGGAGAAACCGCAGAGCAAGGTGACGGCCACGTGGCTGTGAACAAATGTGAGCAGGGTGGCTGTGCAAGGGCAGGCAGGGAGGAGCAGAGATAGGAGAGGCCAGCGGCCCCTTGACCAAGCACTGGGGAAGGGAGGTTATCAGGCCTGGAGGGACAATATTGGGGACTGTCTCTGCTGAGAAAACCAGGATGAATTTGTCAGGGACTCTAAGGGTCAACACGGCTGTCGGATACCATATGAAGTTCTTGTAAATCTAAGCAGATTGCAGCTTCATACACATTATAAGTGCACATCCACCACTTTTATTGGTAGAAAAACAAACATGATGCATCACACCATCTTATTGCCTCAGACAGGATTAATCCATGATTCAAAATGTTGGTGGAAACTGCCAACAAAATCAAGGAGCCTTTATCAGTGTGACTGATGAGTTCCATTCCTAGCACGGATGAGCCTGCCTTCCCCAGTTTACCTTTCCATAGTTTCTGCTGCACAAGTTTCAATCTGCCAAAATAAACTATAACTTTAGGCTTCATAAATTGGATGAGAATAAAAAATTGAAGATGACATGTAACTGTCCTAGAGATTTGTCTTGGGCAAAAATGAAGAAACTGTTACTATGAAAATCAAAGTGCCTCCTCTTTTTTTTCTTGAGTGTGAGTGGAGTAGTATAAGAGGATGTAGATAATCCTCCAGTATTCTTGAAGTTAAAAAAAAAAAGTGCTCATAACGAGTATATCTTAGGCAATTGCTTGTGAACAGTGCAAAAACAGTAGAGACAAGCTGGCCTGGTGGAAGGCACGGTTGTCCCACGTTGGCACCTCCCTAGACCACATCACCAGTCGAGAATTTGCGGGTCCTCCCTCTGGAGGGGCAATTTTAGTCTCGACTCCTTTTCACTTTTTTTTTTTATAATTTTACTTATTTTTTCCCCCAAAGCCCCAGTAGATAGTTGTATGTCATAGCTGCACATCCTTCTAGTTGCTGCATGTGGGACGCAGCCTCAGCATGGCCGGAGAAGCGGTGCGTCAGTGAGTGCCCGGAATCCGAACCCGTGCCGCCAGCAGTGGAGCGCACCCACTTAACCACTAAGCCACGGGGCCGGCCCCCTTTTCACTCTTAAAAGCTCTTTGGAATCCTCAATAATTTTTATCTGAGTTAATCTATCAATAGTTAACATATTGCAAATTAAAATGGAAAGGTTTTAAAATATTTATTCCCTTTAAAATGAAAACAAACCCATTACTTATTAACATACTATTTTTGAAAAATTATTTTCTAAAACAAAAAACTTTAGTGAGAATAATAGCATTAACATTCTTATCAATCTTTTTACTATCTGGATTAAGAGAAGACAGCTGGATTCTCATTTCTGCTTCTGCAGTCCACATATCGCAACGTGTTTTGGCTGAAGGATATGAAGAAGGTCTGGCCTCGTGCAGATAGGTAGTTGGAGAAGGGAGGACCGCATGGACACCGTGAAAGGGATTTGGGAACCCCAGGGATCTGCAAACAGGACTTTGAGAACCGCTGTTCTAGAGACAGAATACATCTGCCAGCCCATTGATTTTGGGGTTGGCCACATGCAGAACATAGGTGGAGGTGATGGTGTAGTTCTGAGCATGGCCCTGTTTTCACTTGCTCTCTTGCCCTGGACAGTCAGAGAGGCATGCGAAGCAGAGCCCTACCTAACCTGTTGTCGAGAGCCATGCAGCCAAGACCAGCCAGCCCAGAGGCATGAGAGAAAGAAATGCTGCTTCTTGATGCCACTGACTTTGGCGGTAGTATGTTGTGCAGCAAAAACTGACTGACAAGAAGAGGGTAAAACACCTCACAGCTTATGGAAATTTTGAGCCAAGTTGAAAAAAAGGCTAATCTGGGCATTCACCAATTTGGTCATGGATAAATTCCCAGAAGAAACTTCCTCTCTTTGGATCTTCTAATGTGAAATATTGTATCCCTGAATAAAGAAACAGTCTCCTAACATGAAATACCCAACTTTTGTCTCCGTGTGTACCGTTTACCTCAAGTTCTAGTGCACTAGACCTGTTAGCCAGTTTTCCTACCCTAGTCTCAGTCCTTCCCTTTGCAGAGAGCCTGCCATACACACGACCCTAGAACAAGCAGCTCGTATCCTGCCCCATGGCTAACTGCATCAGAACACCCCTGACCCCAGGCCAATGGGACAGGAACCAAGACTGCACAGACAGACAGGGATGAGGGAAAGGGGAAGGGACCCTGAAGGCTCCCCTTGAACCTCTCCATTCTCCTGATGACCACTCCTTCATCACTGGACTGAGTTTGGTTTTTGTAACCAAAAAAGTCTAACTAGACTGGAATGGCTTTAACTAATGTATCAAAGACTAGTTTACTTTGGGTTGTAGCACATCCACCAGTGCCAGTCTGACCAGATAAGAAAGTTCAGCTTACAATTTTGTGACAGATGTTTTATTTATAGGGAATTAAAATGTAGGCATATACATGACACAAACATTATATACAGTATACTTTCCATGACAGAAGTTATGACACTGCTCACAGAAAGGCCTCAATTCAAGTTACATACTGCATATGCTACAATGTGCACCGGGGGAAGAGGGAGACCAATGGCCTTTTTGTTTTGTTTTGGTTTAAATAACCTCTGGATGCATTCAAGTAATACTGATCATTTAATGTTCAAAAAACTTTTAATAAACAAATTCAGAGTAAAATTAATTGAAATATTTATAATATGATTTAATTGTCACACAGTATTTCCAATGTACAATCAAGACAATGCACAACACTAGAAAGGAAAAAAAACAATCTATTGCACCCACTAGTAAAAAGCCTTTTTATTCATTTTTGGGACGCTGCAATTCAGTATTTATATAAACATTTACACACTTTAGTAAACACAGAAGTCCTACATGTAATGCAGCATTATGGGTGAGAAAACCCTTTTAAGTCTCAAAAATAAATGTCAGTGTCCACATAGTGCCCATGTCAAGGCTGATTCCCCATCATTATTCCATTCATTATTCCCATCACGAGCAACCACAGTCTCTCTGCCCGCCCCCCAGAAATCTAGAGGACTGTATTCTCATCAGACACACCAGACTGCCCACACTCAAAACCGCAGTGCTCTCCTCCTGCTCAGCCTTGTGGTGTCTTGCAATGGATGGCATTTCTCCATCTCAGTGTCCTGTTAAATAATCCTGCGTAGAGTCTGAAGCAAATGAATCCACATCCTCATTCTCCGAGTCATCGCTGCTGTCATCGGCGGCTGGCTCTCCCGTGAGGGCTATTCGAGCATAGTCATCTGTGTCTATCGATTTGCAGAAGTGGATGGCATATTTCAGTTTCTCCTCCAGCACCTGCTTACAGGAATACCTGGGCAACTTCAGCAAAAAGAAGCAGGTGTAGGATTCAGGAAGGAAGTGGTCAGGAGGGTTGTATTTATCCAACACCTGTTGATGAAAAATATTAAATAATCAGAGACTATGTACCAGGAAAGGAAAAACTGCAAATCTATTTCATTATGTTCATTAGACTCTTGACTCTCACAAAAATCATCATATTTTTGGCTAAGAATAATAAAATATCAGGAAACATATAATCTAGCCAATTTTAGAAAGCAGCAGCTCATTAATGCCTAGCACTTGTAGTAAAAAATAGCAGTTGGTTACTGTGACAATTACTTTTTATAAATCAACGCCGTGAAGAGGGTCAGATGGCTCCATCCACCCTCAGTCGACACAGGTGGGACCCCAGCCTGGTGGGCACAGGCCTGGCTCAGCACTCCCCACATGGGGAAGCTCTCTGTAAATCCATCAGCCCACCTGCAACCACTACAGATTAAGATACTAGGAAGCCAGCAAGAACTGTGGGAAAAAACCAGGAATTACCTACCTTTTGACAGAAAAACTATATGTGCTCTCAAAGATCTCCCTGAGAGATGGCTACTTTTGTAACTCTGGCTACAGACACAGGTCAGGCTGCCCTTGGGACAAGGAGCCCGTCCCTGCATCCTTCCAGGCATGCAAGGAGAGTGGACGTCCCACCCCTCCGAGGAAGCCTCCCACCCCCATGGTATTGCTACCAGGAAAGTCACACCTGAGGGTCTCGAGGGGGCAGAGGGGTCAGGTCATTTCACCTCAGTGACCCGGCAAGACAGAGACTATTTCTGACCATGGGACCATAGAGTTAGAACTCAAGGCAAAACGCCTGCTCTGACTCTGATGAGCACTCTGATTTTTCTCAGTAAGCAGCATTACTTAGTGATTCACCTAACCTGAGCAGGGAATCAAACAAATGCTTTAAATGATGTGTGTGCTCAAAATCTAGAACACACTGACATAATAGCAGTATATTCTGGTGGTGGCCAGATAAATTTTTTAAAAGTAGGTACCGGTACCCAAGACCTGTTATAAAATTCTGAGCTATCAAATCAAAGAAGTTGGGTGTTTTTCAGTTTTGTTTCCAGGGAGAAGGAAAACCACATAACACAAGAGACCAATTTTCCAATCTGCTGCAGGATTGTGTGCGAGGATCACGCCCCCTCAGCTGACACCCAAGTCGTGCAGGAGCCACACCTGGATGACAAAGTCTCTGCCCCGGAAGTCGGCGATGGTCCTGGGCAGCCTCGTCCGGCCCCACACAAAGCGAAGGAAGAGGGAGCGCTCTGTATTGGAGAAGGACTCCATCACCTCCCAGAACCACTGGATCAGGGATGCAGAAGGCTCGATCCCTTTGTACGTTGCCACTGACTTCAAAAGATGCAGAGGGATATCTGGGCTGCCACACACCTGTGGAGGGACACAGTCAGGGTGGGCCGACGCTTAAGACTCTTCACTGCAGCAAAGAATCAATCACTCTTTCTACCAAGGCCTGTTTGGGGAGGGGTGGGTGTGGGAGGCAAGAGAAGACAGGTGCGAGGACAGGTCCTGCATGACCTCGACCCTGTGGCCCACCCTTGTGTGGGGTGGGGGCTGTGAGGGAGGGAGGCAGGGTACCCTTGTTTCCCAAGCATGTTTTCACTTCATTCAACAGGTATAAGCATATCTCAGATTTCCAAAATTTAACTGAGAGGTTAACTAGTGGCACTGATTTCATAGGTCACCATGCAAAAGGAAGTCCCAGGGAGGCAGCTTGTGGGGATTGGCATACCATCGTCTCTAGTTCGTATCCAGTGAACAGAGAAAGAAGGGGGACAGGCACGACTCGGGCCATCCCCTCCCGAACGGCAGCCACCTGCTCATCAAATTCATGGAGTCTGAAAGATAAAACTCACTTTGCATTTCTATCTTTGGTGAGGTAGATCTTTTTTTTTTTTTTTTTGAGGAAGATCAGCCCTCAGCTAACATCCGTGCTAATCCTTTTTTTACTGAGGAAGACCGGCTCTGAGCTAACATCCATTGCCAATCCTCCTCCTTTTCTTTTCTCCCCAAAGCCCCCCAGTAGACAGTTGTACGTCATAGTTGCACATCCTTCTAGTTGCTGTATGTGGGACTCGGCCTCAGCATGGCCAGAGAAGCGGTGCGTTGGTGCGCGCCCGGGATTTGAACTCGGGCCGCCAGTAGCGGAGCGCGCACACTTAACCGCCAAGCCACGGGGCCGGCCCCTGGTGAGGTAGATCTTGCTCTGCTCATACCAAGCCTTACCATACAGATGACCAAGACGTGTGCTTTACAGACACAGCATTACAGAGCTTGTCACACGAGGAGTTCATCTCGACTGGCACATAGAAGATAACCTCAAAAACTACCTGCGGCTCTACACACTCCAAGGCACAATTCTCCACATTTCCTTCCTTCCCAGGAAGGAGCCAGAATTAGACACCCAGACTCAGAGAACCAGGCCCCTCAACACCCACAGTACGGACCCTCTGGAAGCAGATGCTGTGTTCAGGGCCCTCATGACTGGCGAGTTGGGGCACAAGGCAGAAACAGACACAGGGGACAGCATAGCACAGGATGCCTGCCAGGACCACCTTCAACCAGAGCCCAGCAAGCAAAGGCCACTCGATGTGCATGGCCTCGTCCCAACACCCAGCGAGGTGCTTCTGGAGGATGAGGCCCCCGAGGACCACACCATGTGGACTTGGGACTTTGGGCACAGGCAGCGATGAGCAGAAGTTATGGGTGTTGGTGCTGACCTGTCATGCAGCAACAACACCTGAATGCCGGCTGAGGGCCATGTCGGGGGCAGAGATGGCCCAGACATAGTCCTGCCTCAGGAGAGGTGACAGAGCACAGAGGGGCATACATAGGCCACGTGACCTCTGCTGGGACAGTCTCCAAAATGGAGAATTCTATTCACCTCAGTATTCTAGTCAGAGCCAGGTATCTCAAGTGACAATAATAAGTACTCTGACCCTGATCACAAAATAAGTTTTGATGACCACAGATCAGCAGTAGTTGGAGCCAAAACTATTATCATTTTACTATATATGACACTTCTAAAAGAACACAGCCATCCAAGCGAACCATTTTCTGCTATTTTTGCTATTTGTTCAGTCAAAACAATGGAGGGCAGATGACCACGCACCTGTAGTTTATTGCCAGCCGGACGTACTCTGCACGGTTGTCCAGGGTGATGTGCGTGTACTTGGAGCTCAGCTGGATGTCCTGGCCGCTTGCACTTGGCACCGTGAAGGGCAGGCTCATGGCTTCAAACTCTTCCGAGGTGGCTTCATTGTCACGAATGTACATGAGCCCAGGGATAAAATCTTTATCGACCTTCGAAGGGGGAAAAGGGAGTCCATGTGTTGAGTCAGGTCTGTTCCTGCACCCCAGGCCCCAGCTCACACCCTGGTTGCTTAGCTGAGGGGCCTTGGTCTGCCTCAGGTGTGCTGCGAGGCTGTGAGTGCATTGCACATGCTGGGAAATAAAAGAGCAGCAACGAGGAAGTACTTCACTCAAGGAAGGAAGAAACTGTAATTCAAGGAAGTCCTTAAAATTAACCACCAAGAGAGCAACAGCCACTGATCAGAGACAGATTCCACCCTGCAGTCATGGCACTGAGGGAAAGGCAGCCACAGGGAGGGCAGGGTGCTGACAGTAGCCACCTGGGTCTCACCTTCCCCGAGAGCCTGAGCCACAGCCCAGCTGCCTGCAAGTTCAGCACCTTCACAGGGAAAATGGTGAGATTTCTTCCCTGACAAGACTGTGCAAGTTGCAAAGCAACACAAAAGAGATGATCTATCAACTTCTAGAAGCAAACTAGCCTTGTATCCACATGCCTTCTTTGCTACCAGAAGGTGGTCTGCGGCCAGCAACCTTATCACCCATGAGTGACGCAGGACCTCAGGACAGGCTGTGCCTCTTAACCAGACCCCAGGGGACCCCCCAAAGTGCTCTGTACCTGGCACACAAGGTGTCACATTTCCCCATCCCCTCCCTCCTATGGTTACCTCGCTGAGGTCTGCAATTGTCAGGTTCATCCCAGCCAGCTGCTTCCAGACAGGCTCAGCCAGGTTGAGGCTCAGGGGACTCCCAGTCCGGATGGCAATGCCCAGTAACACACCTGCTCGTTCAAGGCACAAGTGACAGGAGATACTTGAAATTGATGACAGAACATCTAGTTCATTCAACAACACAGTGGAGACTAGCTCTACCCTGGGGCCTCAGTGCCTTCTAAACCAACAGCACCCAAATTCATGGAGACTTAGGTCCATCCTTAACACATCTGTCCTCTTCTAAATTCATTGTTTCTTTTTGTTGCTACGGGCCAAGTTTCTAACTCTTCTACTCTTTCAACCAATAGGTGGTAAGACACACAGAGGCCAATCCTCATTCCTCTGATGGCAAAGCAAACAACCGGAACTTCTCAAGGAGGCGGCACGGTGCCTGGAGAGGTGCAGGCAGTGCCAGGAGTGCATGGTACAGATTCTTAATGGAATAGGAGGGAGGGGCTGGCTGACCACCAAAACCCCCTCAGGTCCGATCCCAAGTTTCAGATACACTGAAGAGGCAGAAACACGGTATTTCAGATCCTCTGAGTGCCAAAGCACCTTTTGGTCCTTAGCACACAGCTGCTGACAGTAGGGCTCTGCTCATCCCTGCTGCTACACACTGAAAAAGCTAAAAGCAGATATTCAAAATATCTACCACCACTCCCAAGACAGAGTAGGCATTAAGCTAACTGAAGGTGCACACGGCTGCATAACTACAGCATCATGCCCATGCAAGAAGGCCCACCAAGGAAGCGGAACATGTTGGTGTGCACGGGCGCCCTGGCGGCCGGGCTGAACAGGTAGCAGTCACGGTTGGCCCCCGACTCGTCTCTCCCGTTGGGTGTCACGATCAGAAGGGGGGTGAGTCCATTCTGCAGCTCTTCACAGATCTCAGCTATGGACTCGCTGTAGCCACCACCACAGTCATCCACAGATTCACCTTGAGGGAAAGGAAAGTCAGCAACTCACCGTCGCCCCAACACAGCCCCGGGGGAGGCCACCGAGTGGGCTTCCCAGCTTTCCCTGCACTGCTCATCACACCACTGTGCAGGACCATCGTACCACAGGCCCTCCAGTGCACAAAACTCTCACCCACAAACTTGACTTTCCAGACGCGGTGAGGGAGGAGGAGGCTGTCAGGACTGAAGGAGCTCATCTTTGCACACATCTGCCCAAAGACAGACTTGGTGCCGTCAGGGCCCGCCAGGCCGCCTTTACTCCTCGAACGTTTGACCTGGAGAGGGAAGACAGAAATCTGAAACAGCGGACACAGCAGAAGCATACAGCTGCCATCTCCAGCAGCTGACTGGCCTGGGACACCTGCGCCAACGCCAAACCTGGGGCCGCTCGCCCCTCTATTCCCCTTGACTCTCCCTCTTGGTCACCAGGTGAGAGTTCAGCCAGCATGCTGTTGCAGGACTTGGAGAGCTGTTGTGAGTGCAGCCTACAGACAGCAAGCAGCACTTAGGCGTGTGGTATCACCCCTACAACTTTGTACCTCTGCGAGCACCAGGCAAAACAAAGCAAAACCCAGGGGACACGCCTGTGCAAGGGTGATGGCTTCTAGACTACACACACCTCTTCCTCCACCATGACTCCTCTTCTGGGATTAACTCATGTTCCTCACTTCCTGCACCCGAAGCCTCTGAGAACCTCAAAGACCCACCTCCATCTCCTTCACCCTCACTTGATGCCACATGTTCACTTGCTCGGGACTCACACACAGGATACCCACCAGATGGCTGTGCTGATGGAAGCTCTAAACACGCGAGGCCAGGCCCTGGCTCACCTGCACATATCCAGCAGGTCACCAGTGACAGCACAGCACCCCTCAGGACTGGTGGTGTCTAAGCAAACACACCCTTGAGAAATCACAGACCACAGTGATAACCCTGATCAGCCACGTGGTCAGTAACTGCAACCTGGTTCATCCTCACGCTTTATCACCCTAACCCCTGCCAACCACTTCACCACATCACCCCGGCCTCCACGAATGAGATGCCAGGAACTCCAAAAGTGGCCCTCCTAGCAGACTATCAGCACTCGGAGATTCACCCCAAATGGCTCTGAGACCTAACCCAGATGCACTTGGCCGGAACAGAACCTTCCTTCCCTCACTCACCTGCACGGATCCTACTCCAACCCTCAGGGTCACTGCATCTTCCCCAAGCATGATCACTTTTCCTATCTGTTATTTCTCATCCTAAGCTAAGATTTCTGAACAGATCAGACCAAGGGTCCTCAAGGCCCTCACTCAGTGTGGACTCAGTAACCCTACAGCTTTGCAACCTAGGCTGTGTTTCAGAATCACCTGGGAAGCTCAGTCTGAAATGATGACAAAAAGAGAAGTTAAGGAAAAAATGATCATGAGAATGTGCTTTTATATTTTTTTTGCTGAGGAAAATTCGCCCTGAGCTAACATCTGTTGCCAATCTTCTTCTTTTTTTGCTTGAAGAGGATTAGTCCTGAGCTAACTAACATCTGTGCCAGTCTTCCTCTATTTTGTATGTGGGCCACCGCCACAGCATGGCTGACAAGTGGTGTAGGTCTACACCCAGGATCTGAGCCTGCGAACCTGGGCTGCTGAAGCAGAGCATGCCAAACTTAACCACTACACCATGGGGCCGGCCCCAAGAATGTTCTTTTATATTGACTCCTTTGGCTAAACTCCCACCATCCTTAACTTCTTAATGAGTTCTTGGTTCGGGTTAAACAGCTAATTCTCTTACTGCACCAATTACCATACTCAAGACTAAAAGTATAAGAAGAGTGACAATAATAATAATAGTTTCCTGAGCAATGAATTTTTCTGTGTGCCACACATTTGGCTGTATGTTCACAAGTGTCATTTCATTTAGACCTCACAGCAGCTGCTTAAGGCACCCAATACCTTGGAGGAAACTGAGCTATAGGAAGAGAGGGATGCGTCCATACGTGAGGGACGAGACACAGGCCTGCTTCCCAATCTGAATGGAGGTAACATCACCATTTACAACACCAGGTTCCAGAGACTGATGCTTCCGGCTTCTATGAAGGGACATGGCTATGTGAATAAAGCTATGACATTGCAAGGACAGGCACCTGTGTGCTGATGGTGGCTACTTTTGGACAGTAGGAATATAAGTAATTTTTTAAATTGTCTTTAATCTGAATTTTCAGAAATGAGCATGCATTAATTCTGTAATAAACTTAAAAATTTTTTAGGTACACTGATTTTCAGATCCTGTTACAAAACTCAATCAAATTCAAACAAACAAAGAAAACTCCTCCAGGAACATGGCCTGTGTTTTGGTGTCTCCAGAACACTTTCCATAGACAGTAGGAAAATATTCCCAAAGGAGAAGGCTGATACCAGGCATCCTGTAGGCATGGACGCCTAGGATCGGGCAGGGAAGAGGCACCTACACCACCTTTCTGGATCATCACTGGTATCTGCCTTCAACTTGGATTCACAGAATGTCCCACTCCCGCTCTGTTTTTGGCCAGAAAAATAATTCTATTTCCATCTTTGTCGAAGATCTTCCTAGCTTCAGGAGAGGGGTATGAAACTCTGAATGAAGGGACCTGGCTATGGTACCTGAGGGCCACCGGGTGTTAACAGAGCAGGCCCTCCGGACATCAATGTGCATCGCACACTGCCTTGAAAGTTGTCTATCTGCCTTTAAAAAAAATTTGTTTGTCCTACCCATTCTGTTCTTTCAAACATGTACTGAACACTTTCATAACACGAGGCCCTGTGCTGGGGAGGCAGAGATGGGAAGGAAGGAGGTACCCAGCACATGGTGACTGAGAAAGCTGAGGCGAGAGAAAGAAACAACAGGCCTCGTGTGGTTCCAGATCATCATGGCCCACCAATGCCCAAAGCCCCCAGACTTGAACTTTCAGGCTGCTGGCCCTGAGGAGGTGCCTGTGCACGGCTGGGGAAGGCAAATGATACAGGAACACCCAACTGTCTGCATTAGATGATCTGCAGCCATCAGCTTTCCTCACTTACAAGCTTTAGTATTTAAGACTCAATGCAGAGCAAACAAAAATGATCCTCCAAGGTGGGGAAATAAAAGCTTTTTTATGAACCTAATTAAACAGCCCATTTGTTTCTGGAATGGGCTGAGTGACCTCCAGTTTGGCATTAACCACTGTGACGTCAGTGAAGGGACCACTTCCATCAGCGTGGTCACATGTTTTCTCCAATAAATGACAAGGGTTTGATGTCTTAATTCCAAATGCCCCCAAGTACATCTCTGGAAAGAGTTGGAGTCATGTAACCAACACCAGGGTAAAAATCATGTGTTAATACAAAGGTACAGAAACAAAGAATTTGTTCTTCATGGCACTGTTTCCGTTCCAAGAGGCGGGGCCAATTTCACTTGCATGCTAAATGTCAAGTGCCGCACAACATCAGTGCTGGGGTTCCTCTGGTTTTTAACTAATTTTTTTAACTGTAAGCTTATATACACTTGGCAGCAGTACAAATTCAGAGAAGGTCTACTTTCATTTCTTTGATTACTATCATGAGACAGTATTAATGATTCTGGCCTATTAAATTGGCAAAGTAAGCTACCAGAACCAGGGAGGGTGTGATGCTAGCAGGAACAGAGACTGTCACCACAGACAATTCCATGCATCAAGGGCCTCTGACCCGCCCCACTGCTCAGAACCTAACCCAAGGGGGCGACTGAAGGCACACCCATAGTCGGAGCTATGCCAAGCAGCCCTGCTGTATCCCAGAAAAGCAGGCATGGATTTCCAGCCCCAGCAGAAGAATCTGACAGAGAGAACAGGGGCACTGGTAAGCACAAACAATCCCACAGCCCCAGTGCACAAAACAGAGAGGTGCTTACAATGCATTAAGGGGAAAAAACAGCAAGTCACGAGAGAGTCATCCAGTTCAGGTTATTACAAACACACACATATCCCCAAATGTCTGCAGTAGTTACCACTATGTGGTGGAAATATGGGTCATTTTTACTTTTCCCTTTTTGCTCACCTGTATTTGTGCTTCTAGGTTATCTGATATAAGACTTTCTTTCTTCTGTTATAAAGAAAACAACTTACATAACCACATGGAAGCCTCAGCGCCACAGGCCATTGCACACAGGTGGTGCCTTGCTCTCTAAAGCATGGGCTAGGTGAAGGTCTGCGATGAGCATGCTTACCCCACTGCAAGGAAGAGACTTGCAACCACGCAAACATGACATCTAAGAACAGAGAACCACCTCCACTCATTACCTGGATTCGGTTCAACTCCACCACGGGCCCATGCTGGCGGTCTCGCACCATAGTGGCTTGTACTACTTTTCGGAAAGCTGCCTCCTAAAACGTGACAGACAGATAAAATTTAGAATCTGATAAAGTATTACCCATAGATAAATCATGTCATAAATTTATTTAAAACCTTCTATTCCTAAAAGTCATATTTTATTAAGAACAGGTAACTGCAAACTCTCTTTTTCAAGTTGTGAGACAGCCTTAGGGGAGCAGCCTGGCATTGATGCACAGACCCACCCAGGGGGGCTCAGCCAGCTGGCAGGGCAAGTGCTTGGCGGTGCTCTGGGCCTGCCTTCTGGAGGCAGGAGGAGCCCGGCTTGCGCTGCGCAAAGAGGAAGGAGGGCCAGAGCCTGGCGAGCACCTGCTCTGGCTCAGGTTTGGGCCAGGCTCTGTGGGTCGACTACAACACCAAAGCTTCCCAGCCAAACCGCAAGGCCACTAGTGGCAAGACAAGACGTTAAACACTAACTATGCCTCAGTGTCACTGTCCTGACAGAGATACCAACCACAAAGCAGCAGCAGGGCCGGGGAGAGGGCCAGGCCTGGGGTGGGGATGGGGAGACTGACGAGGGAGGGAACACGCACTGACAGAAACCTGGAATACCCAGGGTGAAGAAGGCGAGGAGAGGGAACGAGCCCAACATCACTCAGGGGGAAGCAGGCCCATTGTGCAGGTATGGAGCTGGGCACCAGGAGCATGTCACTGTACATGCATGAGGACGAAAAGAGGGAAGTGACTCAAGAGACACTCAAAGGAGGTGGAATCAGTGGGAGTCCCAGGTCTCTGCCAAGTTGACGACCGTGCCTTCTTCTGGAGAAAGGGTGGCTGTGGGGGCACAAGGACCCACAGCAGGGTCTGGCCTCCTCTCCCAGGTCACAGCCTGAGAACTCCAAACCCTAAAAGCTGGAAGGCGAGGGCCCAGGCAACCTGAGGACATGGCCCCAGAGGTACGAGAAGATCAAGTGAGGATATCACAGAGCTGCACCCATCGCCATGCACCCCTGTACACCAACCAGCTAATTCTGCCCTCCACGCTGCCTGATCTCTGCTTTCCAGACTGCTCAGCGCACAGCCGAGGGCAGCTCTTCCTCCACGGGAGCATGCGTATCCCTTCTCCTCCTGTGGTGCTCTCTCTCTTCTGTGCTCTGAAGTCACTCCCTCCCCAAACTTTCCAGCAGAGGCGATCCTTTCTGACCCATCACCAGAAGAGAGGCTGGCTACGCATTCCCTGCTGCTGAAGGTGCCCTCTGGACTCCCTCAGCACTCCTGCCGCTGCACTCCTGTGCTCACAGCCTGCAGGACACTCACAAAGTGTGTGTGGGACACACCCTGCCTCTCACTTTGCTTTCTCCTCACGAGGAAAGGCTTTTTTCCCTTCACTGCTTGGTATCACCTCCACTTTAAAGGAGAAAAAAAATGGTGGAAATAGTCAAATTTGCTACTTTTTATTATTGAAATATGTCTGAAGTTTCATATAAATTTTACCTGCCTGCAATTTTTTCCTACTCCAGATCACCAGAGAGATCTAATGTTTACCACAATCCTTATCACTGTCCAAGTGTCTCTAACCACACATGAAAATAAAATGTGTGCACCAGTCTCCTTCAGCTAGGTGGAAACAAAGCCAATCCTAAAAGAAATCTGTTTGGACAGGACTCCAAAACATCTAAATTTATTATCATTAAGAACAGACCATAATCTTGGATAACAAAATATATCATAGAATCACAGACTCTTCAGAATTAGGACTCTTCAATCTGACCTGTATACCTTTGTTCCTGACACAAATATTCCCCCTACCATACAATGACTGAGCCTCTTCTGGAACATCTTGTCAAGCTGCTTGCCAGAAACTTCATGACTTCCAGTAAGGGGAAACCCCCAACTCCTGAATCAGGCATTCCATTTCTGGAAAACTCAAATTATTATAAATGTCAATGGGTCAAAATCTGTCCAGTGACTTTCCAACGCCTTCATTCATGATTCTATTCATGGCCTGTTAAATTATCCTTTGACTAGGAATCTCCACATATCCTGGTGCAGAACTATCTAAGCCATCTGTAACTTCTGGCACCCTCTGCTGGACATCCCTGGGGAAGAAATTATCCATTATTTTTCCTTCCTGCTGCCAGTGGGGATTTGCCCTAAGCCTCAAGGCCAGGCAAGCAGAGAGCACTGCAAGAAGAGAGGCTTCGTTTTACAGCCCACTCCACCCTTTTGGGGAGGTGGAGACAGAGGTTATAACAGGGAAATGCAGCACCACACTACTGACTGTTAATATAAGCTCCAAAAGAGGAGAGATTTTTGTCTGTTGGTCATTGCTGCATCCTAAGCATCCAGAATACAGCCCGGCACATAGCAGGCACCCAGTGAACGCTGGGTGAATGAGTTGTAGTCTATATATTCTCAGTTTAGGAATTTTTGTTGGATTACAATTTACTGAAGATACTAGCTTCACCTACAACAAAGACTGCTACAAGCATACCTTTCCCTGGGATATCAGAATTCCTCGTAGCGTGTCAAAACCCACAGAAGGCCCGAGTCCAGTTTCATCGAGAGAGCCCTCGAGGTCGAACATGGGGATGCAGGGGCAGAAGAGCTCTGAGATGTGATGTAGCAGCAGCAGCCGGTTCCGCAGTGCTATTATGGGGATTTCCTGCAAATGATTGTACTCCATGGGGACCTGAAACGTTGAAACTGCATTAAGTCAACTTAGGTGTCAAACGCCACAGATAAGCCACAGTTTTGTAGATGAATTCTGAAAATATTTTTTTCAAAAACAGAAAAGCATTCTGATCTCTGAGTTTGGTTTGAAAAATCTCGTTGTTTTTAAAATAATACTCTGGCCAGTTTGCTTGAGTCAAGTAACATAAACCAAGTTGAATGCTAAAAAAATTAGTCCATAGAAATATATTTACTCAGCCTACACTATCAGAATGGTTTTGTATGGTTTACAAGATTTTGAATGAAGGTGACACATTGATGTATACAGAATGTTGATTGGTGTGAATATTGAGATTCTTAAAAGTATCATTTTTAACATTACGGATCTGTATTATTTTCAACGGAACACCTCTGTAAATATATATTTTTTTTAAACTGAGCTTTTATTACAACTTCTTTTCTTTTCCTTTTTTTTTTTTGTGAGGAAGATCAGCCCTGAGCTAACATCTGCCAATCTTCCTCTTTTTTGCTGCGGAAGACTGGCCCTGGGCTAACATCCATGCCCATCTTCCTTCACTTTATATGGGACGCCGCCACAGCGTGGCCTGACAAGTGGTGCGTTGGTGCGCACCTGGGGTCCGAACCCCGGCCGCCAGCAGCAGAACGTGCGCGCTTAACCGTTACGCCATGGGGCCGGCCCCCACCTCTGTAAATATTAATGGAAGAATGAAGTGTGTGTGTGGTTGTGCATGCATAATTCAATACACAGTAATGTTGCCGCTCCTTGCACGCCTCCTGGCCCACTTGGCCCAACCAGTACTGACCTGTGCAGGGAGCTTCCCAGCGCTGGCAGGCTTGCTGGTCGACCAGGCGAGAGTGTGTGCTGAGCCACAGGCCACACGGTTGACCTTCTTACCCTGAAGGGCAGGTACCAACCGAGGCCTCTGGATGGCATTTGTTGTTCCATCTCCCAGTTGTCCCTCATCATTGTCGCCCCATGTATAAACTTCACCTAAATGAAGTGAATTTAGAACAAGAATCTGTATACTAGTCTACTAGGACCACTGGATACACAACCACCAATGTCTTCCCACTACACACAATCATCAGTGCCCTTCAACTGGGTGTTGGCAGTCAACTGTGTGGATGTTAACCTCATGTGTGACCCAGATGTCTCTAATCACAGCATTCAAAGAGGCAGCACGCTTCCCGGGAGTCTTGACAGCCCCTGGGGGCCAACACGCCTTTCCTAGTAAGAGGTACAAGACTCTGGTCTTAAAAATCCAACGGTGTTTGTTCATAGGACTAGTATTTAATTGCAGCAGTTCTTTAGCAGAACAAATAACATTAAAACAGATGGTAATATCCTTACCAACCCAAATTGATTCGGTATGTTAAATGGAAGGGAAAAAGTCTGTTTTTAGCTAAACAAAACCCATGTTTTTAAAGGAACATGTAGTTCTTTGTATTGTCATTCATATCATAAACACGAGATCCATCATTGGGGAGAAACATCCTTTGCTGTGTACCATGAGAGATCCCAACCCACACACTACCATGAAACTATTCTAAGGGTAAGGTCACTCAGTGACTAGAATAGAAATGAGGTTAGTTCTTTGGAGACGTCATCAGCCTTGCCAAATCTGCAGACTCCTTGGGTGCCATGCAGCCATAAGCACCACTCTGTAAAGTGCGTGCCTGCCTGACCAAGGACAGTGTCCTGTGTCCTGCCCCGTCCCACTCTCTACAGTTCAGCACTAAAGCCACTGGGTGGGTGTCAGAGCACAAGCAAGGAGAAGGGAGCCTCTCTGCAGAGACCAGTCAGGCACAGGGAATCAGAGTCTAGGAGTGACAAGGACTTCCACATGGGGTGGCCCGTGTAGGGGGTGGCTCAGACTAGGCAGTCACAGCCCAAGTGAGATGAGGATCCACACAAGGAGAGGGCAAAGGTAATGATGTGACTCTGGTCACACACAAGAAGAGAGACCAAATCACAACATTAAGGATAATGGGATCCAGGCTTCTCATCAAAAGAGAAAGGAGTTACAAGTGTGAAGAGAGAAAACTGGAATGAACCCTGTGGCACAGACTGGAGCTTGGGGTACTGGTGTGAGTGTGTGGTATTCAATACACATATATAGATAGAGAAATAAACATAGGTGTCAATTTGTGTATTATTTACATATATGTTCCCTGGCTCTGTCCACTGAGAAGGCTTGGGAGCAGTGACATTCCAATAGCAGTGAGCACACCTATCAACCAAATCTTGTCTTCCAAACACCATTCTCTTCTAAAAACATCAGGGCTCCTTGGGAAAATGGTCAATTCTAGGCTTGGGACATGGAGAGTCAAGATGAGGATGGAGGGCCGGCCCCGTGGCTTAGCGGTTAAGTGCACGCGCTCCACTACTGGCGGCCCGGGTTCGGATCCCGGGCGT